AACAATCATCTTTTCTCTTTACCGATTTTCGAAATTTCGAGCAATAACTGTTTTTCTGAACATTTTTTGGAAAAAATGTCAAATTGGACAGGGAAGAAAAATCACTTGATCGGTCATATGCATGTTATTTGGCATCATTTTTAATGATGGAGATATCAAAAGTTGCTTGAAGAGATGAACAAAAAAAATCCCATTTGATGCGGACTTTATGTGTGACTCTGTACTCTTGGATAGTAATTTTAAGTTTTATTGAGTATTTGAAATGAGATAATGTGAGTGCCTTCTTTGTTAAGAGGTTAGTTCACTTAGTTTTGTGGTTTCAATATAGACCGACTCTCAGCTACAATGAATCCAGTATACCTACTGGGTGTTGCTAAAGGTTACCTGGGGTCGTTAACTGACCTTAGATTTTCTCTGATGGTTTTTGTTGGCCTGAATATTGGTTTCACGTCGTGTTTCTCTAAGATTCTCCCAATTCGGTCTGTAATATTTTCAACATAGGGAAGGAAAACTTTCCCCTTGACCAACCTAGCTGGGGTTACTTTGCCTTTCTCTCTCCTGGATCGTATGGCCCGCTCCAATTCTCCTTCGCTGTACCCATTCCCTTTGAAGGTATTTTTGCAGGTGATTGAGTTCCTCAAGAAGACTCCCAGGTTCACAAATACGTCGTACCCTCTTAACCAATGTTTTAATTACCCCTCTATTTTGTTGTGGCTGGTGGTTAAAGTGTTTGTGTGTTGGTCTCCCGTACACTTTGTGGCCCAACGTACCATCCTCGCGTCTATTCACAAGAACACCATCTTGCCATACCAAGAACATTGTCATCAAAATAACGTATCCAACAATATGGCTTCACGGCCGCTTGCTCTAAGACCCGTTGTTCGAAATTTTTCATGAAAAAGTTTGCCACCGCCGGACTTAATGTACTGCCCATTACGGTATCTGTTTTACTGCTTAGCAGAACCATTCTTTCACAGAACTAAATTATTTATTTGTTTAACAAACTTATATATTCGTATTACTAGCTATAGTGAAATTAATTGAAACTTTTCCTCTATCACGGCTCTTATTTGTAATTAGTTTTTAGGTTTGCCATATTTAGAAAAGAAACTGACTAAGGAACTGTCCTGAAGGAGTAAGAAAACCTTCAATACAATCAGATTTGCAATGATTCAGTAGATGTGACTGATCCTTCTGTAATAAAACAGTTTGTCACATATTTAGAATAATTAGGTTGTAAATTATCAGCAAATTCATGATTGTAGTTACCATTTCTTAAGTATATTTAGTTTAAGTTGGATGTGAAAGTAAAAAAAAATCGTGTGTACCTATCTAGCAATTATAAACTAAAAGATATATAATGTAAAACCGTAAGATAATGAATTTCTGGAAAATTTCTATGAGAGAGTTAGTTTTTCAAGATGTCTGTACTTTTTTGTCGGTCATTGTTATACTATTGTGTGGCTAATAATTTAGTGTATAAAAAGGATGAAGAAAAGAATTATAATTGTTAGTCACAGGAAAGTTATCTAGAAGTGATGATTTTTTCTGTTGATTCCGAGAAAAATTGTTGAATCAAAAAAAATAAAATGCCATTCATACCATAACTGCAAATAAACTTTCAAATATTCTCAACCTGGTTTTTATTCTGATAACGAAGTTCTTGTCACGAAGTTCTCTTCAAAATAGGTAACTATTTTTAACACGCTTTTATTAGATTCAACTGTATGTTTGTCGGATGCTTTTGACAAAGTTAATCATGAGCTATTGATCCATAAACTCTGTTCATATGGTGTTGATGGGCAAATACTGCAGTGGCTCAAGAGCTATCTTACGGAAAGAACGCAAATTGTTAGAGTTAATCATTACTATTCTCATACCATCGCAGTTACATCGGGTGTTCCACAAGGTTTACATTTGGGACCACTGTTGTTTAATCTTTTTATCAACGATCTAATCAGCTGTTTCCTTGAAAGCGAAGCTTTGCTATTTGCAGACGATTTAAAATGTTTCAAAATAATTAAAAATGAAGCTGATACATTGTGTCTAAAAAACTACGTAGTTTGGCTATCTAACTGGTGTTTGCAAAATAGTATGTGTTTGAATGCATCCAAATGCCAAATTCTTTGCTTTCATCGAACACATCAACTTAGAGGCTTAGACTTAGAGGCTCAGAACTAGACACGCAATATGTGGACGTGTATGTGAGAGAACACGCAGAAATATGAGTGGGTTTTCGGTATACAGACGTTTCCCACTTAGTGTCGGTCCTCTTCACCAAAACGTCTAAGAATGGCAATTCGTTGTAGATTTCCTCCTCCATTGTGAAATTGATGGAAGGTCTCACGCTGTTGATGTGTTTCAGGAAGCCGTCTAGTTTTAGTTGTTTCAGGGATTTCAAATCATTTTATATAGTAGACAATGGAAGTCCGAACTAGTGAAATGCACGCAGAAAGCGTGTTCAAATCGCACAACAACCCAGCGCTACGCGATCTACACGATGCGTTGAACATGGATGACCCCAGGTTCCAAGAAAGGGACAAACACCCAAGGCCAACGAAACAGAATCTATGACCACCCCCACGAGTCGCCGTCAGGCGACTCCGGTAAGCATATTAATCAGACTTTCTTTCAGCAAGTTCACCGCAGAACAACTCGACCGCGATTCAATTATCCTTAGATTCACTGAGGAACGCTCGACATTAATAACAATAGCCGCCGGTAATTTTTGGGGGCCCACAAGCAAAAATTCAGTTAGGAATAGTCATGACAAAACATTTTTACCGACAGCGAAAGAATAGCACCTAAAGGCTGACTTTCGACCAAAAGAAGTCAGATGTCAATCTTGCTGAAGTGCCCATCAGTGAGTTGAGGACCGATCGGAGAGCGGGGGTGGATGGAGTGGGGTAGTAGGTTCTCCTCGCTAATTAGCTGGGGGGGGGGAAGCTTCTACTTCAGGGCACTCAACCCGGGAGGGGGCATGAGGGGGACTGCTATTGAAACCAAAGATCTAGGTGTGATCCTAGACTACACACTTAGCTATAAATCACACATTTCCGCTGTAATTGAAAAATATATGAAGATGTTAGGCTTTATAAAGAGAACCACTCTTGATTTTACCAACATCACTGCTATCAAATCTCTTTATTTTTCCCCGGTTAGATCTCATCTCGATTATTGTTCCACAGTTTGGTCCCCTCATTACTTTACCCAAAAAGTGAAACTCGAGGCCGTACAGTACAATTTCCTGTGATATATTGCTTTCAAGATGCGTGTGTACTATGACTATACTTTGGAATGCATTTTGTACATACCTTCTCTTGAGGCTCGCAGAAAACATAGAGATTTAATACTTCTATTTAAAATTATCAACGGACTGAGTATCAGCCCCAAGCTTCTCTCCAAAATATCTTTACATGTCCCCAGTCGTTCAACTAGACAGGTGTAAACGTATTACGTTTCTTTTCACAGATTCAATTATTCATACAACAGCTTTATTCCCAGAACTCTTCGATTGGCTAACTCTTTAAATAACCTTCAAATCTTTAATATATCAGTAATTTTGATTTTTCTTAAATAATCTACTTGTTATCTTACTTCGAAATTGTATTATTCTTATAATTTACTTTTAATCCACTGTATTGCATCAACTACTACATAGCACTGTACTACTTATATCTGAATTGGGCTTGCCCCTGTATTAGTTAGTCATCCAAACTCCTTTGGATGACTAACTTTAAACAGACAGATGTAGTTTAAACTTTGTACACTTATCAAGAATCGCTGACAATTGAAATAATTTTCCCACACAGTCTCTGTGTGAGAGTGAGACAACCACACTGTCTGCGCATGTGTATATATTTTATATTAAAACAAATGGGCCAAAGTAAAAAGTGAAAAATAAACAATAGTTTAAAAAACTGAAAAAACATGCATTAATAGCAACACAAACTGAAAAATAAAAAAATTATTGGAAACTAATTTAAGATCGTGTTAAACGTCGATAAAAGTCCCATGTTTTGATGTAACTAATGACTTCTAATAAGTCTAATAATTTTGTTGTAAAAATACAGTTATAATATATAATTGTTATAAATACTGGAGCTGTTTGCCAAATTGAAGCATCCCACGCTTTTTTTGCAACAAAATTATTATTTTTTTGTATTGTCAACAGATTTAATCTGACCTCAGACTTATTGAAACTCATTACTTACTTCAAGCCATAGGACTAATTATCGATGTTGAACACGATCTCAAACTAGTTTCGAATTATTTTTTATTTTTTACTTTGTGTTACTATTAAAGTGTATTTTTTTAGTTTTTTGAACTATCATTTATCTTTATTTTGATTTGCACATTAGAAATACTTTTATTAGTCCAGTCATATCAGGGGTTTCATCTAGAAATGAGAGATAATAAGCCATAAACTCGTATACATCTTCATTTTGGTGTTCTAAAAGTTATCTCTAAAATCTTATAAAATCCCGTGTCTGCGCCGGAAGTTATTCGAGGTCAAAGTTCACGAAAATCAGTTTTTTGCAATTATATCGGTTTGACATGTCAAGTGAAACTGAAGTTTCAGTTGACGCCACTGAAGATGACTGCCTCAGTGACAGGCGAAACGTATGGAAATCATAACCAAAGAAGACCACGGCAAAACCCGGAAACCATCCAAAACATTGTTTTTCAATTGTATAATCATTTGTTTATTTAATTTACCACATAGTTATTAACAATTACTCGATGTTTATTTTACTTTTCAGTCCACCAATTTTCACCGCTAATGAACATGAACATATCAACTTTTTTGACAGTCTTGAGGAGCTCTTTCTTCTTCTGAAACACATCTGTTTATACGAATTTATGTTGAAGATAATTTAGTATATCTTACTAACCATTTTCAACATACAAATAATACAAATGATACAAATCCCTGACGCAGAGTTCATTCATTTGAATATAAAAATTCTAACAGTCATGGTTCAACAACCAGAGTCTCCAAATGCATAAATCTTTAAAAAAAATATTGGCGCCTACCTCCAATTCATTCTTAAAATTACCTCTCGCTTACGGAATTTACAATAACACATCAGCTTCTTGGGGCTCTTCCGAAACTTCGGTTTGTTCCGTTATGATAATTTCAGGCAACTCCTTCTGCAAACGCTCTGTTTCAAGGGTGGCCACCCTGATCTTGTCTGCCAACTCCTTGCAGTCGCTATGTGTGCGATAATCTACTTTACTTTTATCCGTGGAAAAAACAGCGATGAAATCCGCGAAATCCTGCATCAACTCGAAGCACAAACATCCTCCCAAAATATACGGTGCCTCCCTCCACGAATAAGGAAAGTAAATCGAGATAACTTTCTTGGTAGACTTCAAGTTTTTCACCTCGTCTTTCAGGAAACAAAAGGTCGAGTAATCAAGGTCGTAAGGGCTTTCATCAACTAGCGGAGGGTTGATGTACAGAATGTGGCTCGCGAGGATCAGGTTGTCACTGCACCATTTTTCCTCTGTTTTTCCTCTGGGTTTCCCCGAATTGACCGGGTCTAGAATCACTTCTGTATCCGTCAGTGCTTTGATTGTTTTGGTAAGACTAGCTACCACCTCGTTGTGTTTTTCCAGTGAAGGTTTGAAGATAATCAGGATTTTTTGTAGCGTTTCAGTCAGGGATCCTGAAACATTTGATGACGTTAAAATAGAAAGCACTAGCCACAAAGTTACTATACGAGGACTTTTCCAAAAATAAGGTGGATATTCAAAATTTGCAGGCTACATACATTAGAGGAAGAGCACATGATTGGTTCAGCTCGTTTCTTGCAAATAGAAATCAATATACAGGGTGCTTGGTAGCTGAGTTCAAACCTTTAAGGGGGTGATACACTAGCCCATGTAGAACATATTCATACAAACATTTTTATTTTCTAGCGCGTTTTTTATTTTTAAGGGAACTTTTACGATTTAAAAACATGCTTAGTTATTGCTCTTTCGTTTGAGGTATCATTTACCTTGCTAAGTCTTAAACTTTTTTGATTAGGGTACCTGAACCAGTTAAAAGTTGGAAATATGGATATTTGAAAAATTTAAAAATAAAGTAATTTAAATGAAATTCAGCTCAAAAACATTTAAACGAAAACCCTAAAGCAATATGCGATATTATTTTTAGACTTACATGGAATAATAAGAAACTTAGCCCAACTTGAAAGAAGAGAACACTGAACAAAGGCCGGTGCCGGTGGCATTTTACAACAAAGAATTTGACCTGAAGCTAGTCATTAATTGGAATGCATTCTGTTGTTATGATTTAGACCTTATGCTAGGGCCATAAACTTGCTTTTGAGTTTATCAAAAAAACATGCTTAGTTATTGCTCTTTCGTTTGAGGTATCATTTACCTAGCTAAGTCTTAAACTTAAACAGATTGAATCTATCACCAAAACGGTCCTCTAAGCATCGGAATTCGAATTTTTAATAAAATTCCTCAAAACATCAAAGATGAACCTACCTATTTCAGATTCAAGAAGTGGCTGAAAAAAGTACTGATTGAGGGTGCATTCTATACTTTGGAAGAATTTTTTAGTATATAAATCACTGATAGTATATTCTGTCATACTCTGTGTGTAATTGCATATTTTATCTTGATATTTAAATTGTAGTGTACCTACTCTGTCTGTACTTTTACTTGTCATTTCACTTTTTACTCTGTATACCACCTGTGGTCTTCAGATTAATAACAAATTTGATTTGATTTGATTAGATTGACAATTTTTAAATTTTGTTATGTTGGTACACTCGTATCGAACATTTGTTCACAGTTTCAGCTGTCCATTGCACCATTGCCCACCATTGCACTCGCTTACTTCTTTGCGATCTATCTATTAGATAGATCGCAAAGAAGTAAGCGCATTTGACAGCGTTTCACATGACATATTATTGAGAAGACTTGAAAAATATGGTATTAGAGGCATAGCATATGACCTAACACATTCTTTTTCGACAGACAGGCTGCAACATTTATTATATAACAATGTAAAATCTGATACCAAAACTGTCAAGCATGGAGTACCTCGGGGATCCGTACTTGGCCCCCTTTTATTAATTATCTACATAAGTGATCTTCCTATATATATAGATACAGCAGATGTTTTTTTTATATGCCGATGATGCAATTTTTGTCATAAGTAACCAACAAGTGGGGAAGCTAGATCAGTTGTCATGTAAAACACTGACAAAATACAAAATATACTTTAGCGCTAATGTTCTATGCTTGAACGTAAATAAAACTCAGGAAATAACTATCGCAAATAGATCTCAAATGTCTGGCAGTGACAAAGAGGTGTACCTACTAAAATTCCACCTTGGCAACAAATTAAATTAGAATCGACATACGACGTCGTTATGTAAAAAGCTCTCAAGGTGTCGCTACGCATTGAGAGGACTAAGGAGCTTAGTTTCGATCGATGTGCTGAGAACTGCATATTTTGGCATGGCTCATTGCCACATGAACTATGAAATACTGATATGGGGTGATTCCTCACATGCAAGTGAAGTATTCATTATCCAAAAAAAGATAATGAGAGATTTGGAAAAAGTTGAATCCAGAACCCATGCTAAACCAATCTTTATGAAATGGGTCATACTTACATTACCTTTCATGTATTTTCTAGAAGCAATATTGTATGGACATAAAAATAAAAATAAATATGATAGTGGCTCAAGGATTCACATTTATGATACAAAACAAAAAGACATCATCAGGCTACCGAAGATGCATTATCAAAACACAGCCAAACAAACAGAGTTTCTTCCCATAAAAATATATAACACTTTGCCTAGTGAGTGGAAAGACCTTCATATAAAAGAATTGAAGTTCAAAGTAAAATATTCACTTGTCACCCAAGCTTTTTACCAAAAAATCAGTCGCACACGCATCGCTCAAGAATTGTTGAATGACGTCAACGGCGATCCAGATTTACTTAAAACGGTCATAACTGATGACAAATCATGGGTATATGGTTATGACATCGAAACCGAAGTCTAATCGTCCCAATGGAAGAACCCAGGAGAGCCGAGACCAAAAAAGCACGCCAAGTTCGATCAAATGTCAAGGTTTTGCTCACAGTTTTCTTCGATTACCGTGACGCAATGCATCAGGAAATATCCGGTGTTATGGAAAGCCAATTCATGGCTTTTTGCCTCACGATAATGCACTCGCCGTTGCTTGTTCGTAATTGTTTGCCCAAAAACATGCCTCAGTCACCGTATTCACCAGATTTAGTCCCTTGTGACTTGTTGTTTGTTCCCAAGATTGAAGAGATCCATGAAAGGACGGCGTTTTGCGACGACTGAGGAGATAAAAACTAAATCGCTGAGAGAGATTGGAAAAAAATTGTTCAATAAATTACAATTATTGTTATTATTATTAAAAAGTTATAATGTGGCCAGCCTACACATTCTGAATTTGATTTATGGCCCTATTAAAAATTGAGTTTGACACCTCTGCTCTATAAAATGATTTACTTGTAAGTGATATCTTACCTTGAGATCGGTTTCTGTAACTTCTGATATAGAAAACGAACAAAACGCATGGTATTAGAAAACTTGCACCCACAATACCAATCGCCAGAGGCATACCTTTTCTACCTACAATTAAAAATATTTTTCGTGAAAAATTTCAACTTTACAGTAAAATCTGTAATTTCTCAAAAATTACTAAATTATGTGATGGATCTGACTGATCCAGGATAACATATTCAAACACAACCTCATTGTGAGATATTCACTAAATAGTTCACAAAACCTTAACAGTAAAGTGTGCATGTTACAGTTTTTGTAAACTGTTCAATGGAAATTCTTCAATAAAGTGTCATCTATTGGATTGTTTCAAAAGCATCCGTAATGACCTTACAGAAATTAAACAATGATGTGATGTAAATCTGCTGTCGTTTAACATTAAAGAACAAGTTTAATCACCTTTAAGTGCATTATACTAAAAATGCATATAGAAAGTACACTGGTGGAAAATAAGATCTCTACAAAATTCTTGGGAATTAATATCGATGAGTGTATGAAATTCAAGCAGCATAGAAGCATTATAAATAAGAAACTTTCCTCCGAATGTTATGCACTCAGAACAGTATCAAAAGAACTAGGATTTCACACAACAAAAATAGGTAATAGAATTTTGATGTATATTGAACAAAATGAACTATTCTGCAATAATCAACATGGTTTTAGGAAGAGTAAATCAATTGAATCTGCATCTTATCAACTATTGAACTATATTTATGCACAAGTGGATAATAATAACCTGGTTTTTTAACTTTTTTTAGATCTATCAAAAGCATTCGATACTGTTTCTTCCAAATTTCTATTGAAAAAATTACTAGTAATGGGCTTTCCCAATAATGTGTTGTGTTGGATAGAATCGTACATGGAAAACCGTAGTTTGGTGGTTAAATGTAATGGAATTACATCAGTTCCTTATGATGTGAAACTAGGTGTTCCACAAGGGTCTGTTCTGGGTCCATTGTTATTCTTGACTTTTATCAATGACTTGCCTGAATTCATATCNTCGTTGTGAAGGAGCAGACGTGAATCTATTTCTAGTTGTTGCAAGGATTGGCGAGAGACAAGTTCTTTTCATTTTTTTTTCATTTTGGTTATAGCTGAAAAAATAATTTGAGAGTGATCTACAGAGTTTTTAGTAATTTATTTGATTTTCTCTTCCTTAATTTCTATACATTGATACAGAAATATAAAAGTTGATGTCGAGCGTGTTTTTACAATTGAAGAACAAATTAGCCACTGAGAAATTTGTATTTTTATATAAAAACCTCAGTTTTCATTTATGCTTCATTTTCATGTTTTCAATTTAACTTTCAAATTTAAATATTTACTTCACTTCTTCAGTATTATCTGTTTTGTTCGATAATTCATAGTTCATAAGTTTATGATTTTAATTTTCGTCAAAATAAAAACCAATTGTTTCATTTTGTAATTTTTTCAAATTATAATTTGATTCAACTCAGGCCAACCCTGTTTAACAATAATTTACTTTAACCCCTATTGAATAACTATCTGCTGGTTTCTAGTTCAAATTGTCAATTCGGTATATCGCTTCATTACGCCAAAACAAAGTTACATTCTATGAAGATCCCATAATTTTATTCATAAGTGACGTACTGTTTTTTGTAAATAATCATTGACCTACCATATATACGTTATGTATCACAAATGGTGAATAAATATTATTATTATCATTATTAAATGTTTATTATGCCCTCATAGACTCTCACCTAAGGTATGACATAGCATTTTGGGATCTATGCAGTAACCAGCTGTTTCAATCTGTTTTCATCTTAGTGTGGAATGATCCACACAAGCTAATGTTTATAATACATGGAATTTTAACTGTGACTTCATTGATTGTTCTTGAACACAAGAACAGAGGTACTTTTACTTCTCAGCCTCACCACAATACTAGATAGGCTTGCCAGTTAAAGGTTCCTACCCCAACAAACAGTCAAATCAAGAACTCTGGAGTGGAAATGTACAAGTTACCTGAAAGTTTAACAGAATGTGTCACGACACTATCTTTTAGGAGAAACTTGAAGGCAATTCTTGACAAAAAGGCTTACTATACATAAGATGATTTTTTTGAGGTTTTAGCACAAAAATGTTTGTCTGCAAGGTGTATTTTTTATGACATCAAATGTATCTATCTATCTATGAATCGTTCTATTCTTAACAGTCTTGCTCCTCACAATCAATACTTACTTATATGTAATTTGGGTGTCAAACTTTTTAAGCAAGTGTCCTCTGGACATTGTTTACTAATTATGGACACGGCGAAGAAATAATAACCCTCTTGGCCATAAGTGATGTAATCACAATCAAGAGCAGGTTTATTTTCAGCTGGAATTATACGAACGTCGACCAAAAGTGGTTTGTTTTCTTTCTCTCTAAACACTTCCACCTTATAGTGAGTCACTGCATATTCTTTTGGCAATGGCTGTATCCTAAGCAGAAGCTTGTGACTATTCGTGAAGTCAATGTAGGAGAATATCAGTCTTTTTTTGGGAGAAACTGAATTACCTGAAAAGACAGTTGAATAAATTCCCTCGGTTATATATCTACAAGTCATACATACTGAAATTTTCGGAATTTGGAACGCTGAACAAAATCTTCTTGTGTGTGAGATTATCATCCAACTCTGAATTGATTTCCATGAAAAGAGGTTCTCCCACCATCTCATCTTTTAATTCACAGTCATACTTCAAGGCATATGCATTATTTTTGGTCTTCTGAACCCTGATTGTTTGGCAGAAATTTTTGACATCATATTTGGACAGCCTTATTTCAGCTTCTAAAATCATCACGCAATGTAAGAGAGAAAGCGAGAAAGAAAATTAATAAATGCATTTATTGTATAGACAAAAGGTCCTAATAAGGTGAATGTTAAAATTTCGCTGGCAACGTTAATTCGATTAGCGATTTTTTTATTTTTTTCAAGTTGGTAAACTTGTCTCGAACATATGTTGACAGTTTCAACTGTTTAGCATGTTTAGTTTAGTGGTGAGAGGCATAAGTTAGAAGTATTTTGTGTCAAAAATGGAATTGAGTGCTTAAAAACACTTGAAATGTTGACAGTAGCATACGGTGATTGTACTCTTAGTCAGGATAATGTTCACAAGTGAATGTTACAATGAGAATGACAACGCTCGCCCTGGGCGCCCCAGCACATCAACAACCGATGAAAATGTTGAGAAAATGAAGAAAATTGTTATGGAAAATTGTTAAAGAAGTTGCTGACGATGTCGGCATATCAGTTAGCTCATGCTATGCAATTTGTTCGGAATTTTTGGACGTGAAGCTTTTGGCAGTAAAGTTTGTTTTAAATTCCTGAATTTCGTTAAAAAAAACCGTCGTATGGGCATCGCTAAAGGAATTATTGAATGCCGTCAACGGCGATCCAGATTTGCTTAAAAGGGTCATAACTGGTGATGAATCAAGGGTTGTGACATCGAAACTAAAGTTTAATCGACTCAACGAAAGAACCCAGGAGAGCCAAGACCAAAAGAAGCATGTGTAATATATATGTTTATTATATATGTATATCTATAATCATACTAAATCTTTTTTTTTCAAGTTTCAGTTCTGATTTATCTTTTTTTTTGGTGCTGTTCCTTGTTATAAACACTGTATGTTTCTTGGGAAAATAAATTGTTACTAATATGACACTGATAGTCATTATTTTTTACATATAAACTTATGGAGATAGTAACCCTGAATATATTAGTGACTACATTGATCACAACATCTTGTATCTGTTTCAGAAGAGAATTGAAAATATAACTCTTTCTTCAAGTCCTAACACCAGAAATGATTTCTATTCACTAGTCAACATAAACAAAAAGGGGTTTTCCAAATATTTCAATAAATCAGTTGTTTTTACCTTTCCATTCTACCACCGGATAAATATTGCTTGTAAGAAATAATGGAGGATGAACCTCTAGAACTACAAGACCAAAATTACGTTTTAGGTTTTCGCTTACTGTGGATCTGGTTTCTGAACAATCATTATGAGAGCTGCTTTGCGATCTTATTAAACAATCATTTGTTCTATTCGAATTTTCCTAAAATGTAAATATTATTTCAAGAAGCATGGCTAATGTTTACAAACAAACCCATGTGCAATACAGGTCATCTGCCTCACAAAAATTGCAGGAATGTTTTTTAATTAGAAGTAACAGAAATGACACAGTTGAAATTCTCATATTGTTTTTCCAGACAATCCTTACGGGTTACATCTCGCAATTAAATTCAGTAAATGACGATATTATTGAAAAGCAATGTTTATTTACTTTTCCAAAAAAATTACTACGACTATTTAAGATCCCTCCAACAACAAATAATCGGTGTTCCGTGTCACTGTCACCTGTCATATTTAAAATTTGACACAGAACACTAAAAAGCCGCTGAAAAGATGTTAGAGTTTTTATGTAGGGGGGTTATGAAATGTCAGATTTTGGTTGCCACGTTTGTGACGTCATAGAAGGAAAATATCGCCGAATTTGAATTGATTTACGTACAATCCATTTATTTCTTTTTTATTTGATACATTTATGATCCTGCAGATGTTTGAAATGAAGGTAGAGAAAGCAGGTTAGAGGCAAATGCTGATATTGATTGGAGTAAAATCAAAATGTCTCCAGTAATTAAATCTATCATTAAGATCAAGCGTTACTAAATGGCATTCCCAACACCAAACCGTTATTTAAACATCTCGACACGTGTTTAGATCACCAAGTTATCATCTTCAAGAAGAGGATCAAACTGATCTTTGGTGTTTAGAAAAAAACTCCAGTATTATTTAATAACAGAATACTTAAAAAAATTCTAAGAAACTTGTCTGTGACTATTTTATCCAGTTCACTTTTTGCAAAAGCTATTTTACTTCCAACTATGACATATTTGATCACCAGTGATTCAAATCCAATATGAATCGCTACTTCCATACAAGTATCGCTCTTTGAGTGCCTTAAGAATTTTCCTGTGGGGCTTGTGTTTTGTCACAAAGTGTTATAAGAGAACTAATGTAATTACAAACATAATACTATGACACAGTGATTCCCAGTCTTCTGAACATCACAATTCATGAGTTGACAAAAAAATACAAGTTGAATACAATTTGTATTCGGATTTGATGGTTGAATAATACTTTTACTGTGTAGACCTGCATTCTAATTCAAGATAAATAATAGAAAAACTATTATTGTTCTATTATGGGGATCGAAACATATTTACTTCGGCTGTCACAAGATTCTATCTTTTATCGATTTCCTGTTTTCTCCACTAATCTATCATAAACCAATTAAGGTGTCAATATTATACTAGGTGCACCTGCAAAAAAAAACAAGAATCATTTTCTCTATGGCTTTACACACCAAGTTACAAACATTTATTTGAAATCCTTCTTTTGAGATTGATGTTGCTACTCAAAACTTATCTCAGAACTATACCAGGATGAGCTTATGGATGAGTAGATACGAAAATATCGAATACAAAAGTACTTACGCGGACGTTTGCGATTGATACTTGAATGAAACTGCAGAAGAACGGCAGAAGGAATGAAAATAAATATTCAAAAAGTATCTTACTCGATTATTTTCGAAATTATCAGAAAAAATACTGGATAATTTTCTCTGTCATGGCACATAAAATACAAATAGTCGTGTCTTGTTGTTTTGTTGGAAATTACAGAACATTCATTTCCCGCACACCGAAATTGATTTTATTTCAAATTGTGGAAGTAATTTTAAGCAATAAGATTCAGTCGATAAAATTTATTATCAATGTAGTTATCATGCCCAGAGAGCGTATTTCAAATGGTTAAATTCTTCACTTCTGCGCTATGTCAACGTGTTTTCCTTGATTCCACGGAACACTGAAATAAATAATCCGTGGTTCACACTATTCTGTGATTCAATTTATTTTCAAATTGTTGTTATTCAAAAGTTGTATTTATTGAAATATGAAATGTAATTTTTTTCAACGATTTTGTCTTTGATGTTGTGCTAATTTGTTCTATAAAAATGAATGACGAAAAGAGCACAAAATCAGATCCTGAAGAAAATGCTGGTTATGTGTGTATAATTTTAGTATCAGGTTTTGTACATGTTCTAAAAATAATTCTTTCTTCCAGACAACGCCTCCAGAAAAGGCCCAGGCAGAGTCTGATGACTCACTGTCGTTGTCTTTGACACCGCCTATACTCGAGGATAATAAAAATGATGAAAAATCCGAAGACATATCAGAACACTTAACCTCTAACAGCGACAGCATCGAAAATGATCGATCTTACCAGGAAATAGAAATTACCAACAGGCCTAATATTTTTCTCCACGTGCCCGATGACGAACTCGTTCATACTCCACAACAGCCCCCTAATCCATTAGATAACAGTGCCTACAGTGACAACAGTATCATAAGTTTAAATTACCTTAAAAACCTAGAACTTGGTGATAATGTGCTCAGCATATTAGACGAAATCCTCCAAAATGATCAAATTCATTCTGACAAGGACACTACCTGCAGCAGCTCCAAGGAAGAAAGCCTGAATATTTTTGCAAACCTTGACTTGGATGATAAAGCTTTGTTAAATTTTAGACGTGATAACGACGTAAGCGTGGACGAAAAGAATTTGTATGCTAGTAACTTTGGACTGGTCCGAAATGGTAACGAGCTGGAGAAACGTGTCAGAGATTTTGAGGAACTGGTAGCAATTAAAGACAGCATGATAGCTGTGCTGACTTCAGAGCTGGATTCTTTCAGAGAAATGAGCAATGCCAATACAGTGAGTACGCTGTCCACAACGGAATACAAACAGCTTCAGGAAGAGTGTCATAGCAAGGTACTTTTTACAAAAAACACTTCTTGTCAGAGTTGAGTGTTGCAAAGTATTGTTGAAGTAAGTTTTATGTGGAGGTTTGAGGATGACTTTTTGAATTTTTAAAGTATGTAAGAAAAAAATTGTTGTGGAGTTATGGAACATTGTTCCAACTATTTATTTGAATAATAGGCCCCAAACAGTCATGTTTTAACATTGATTTGTATACAACAAACTTGGGAAAACTCACCTGTGTACTGTTCAGAGGGTACCTTATTATCTTATTTTATATATTGATGTATGGCTAAGGCAAACACAATTGCTTCATTTTCAATTATTATTATTATATGTGTATTTGCAAATAATAATTTCAATATTATCTTATCCTATTAAGTGACATACTGTATGATCTGATTTTTCTTTATTTATATATAATTCTACTACTCCTTTACTCACATTTGGCCTACCATAAGTACGCTATGTATCGCAAATGGAGAATAAATATTACATAAACGGTATTTAATGAAAAGCCACCAAAATGATCGCCTAAATAAAATAACTCACATAAATATCCTCAGCTATTTTTTATTGTTAAAAGAACTTGAGATCCCAACAATACAGAATGAAATTGATTTCAGTACACTCAAAACTGTTGATGAAATAAAGTCTCTCTTAATTTGAAATATCGTTTTTTCCTCTTTCTAAGATATTTCACTAAACACTGACTCACTTATTATCTTGTAGTTGTTGGAATACAATAACGTTATCGTTTACAAAAACGACCTCATACAGCAACTTACAGAATCCTTGGATCAGTCCGTTACTGAGAGGAAGGAACTTTTGATGCAGATTGACCGTTTCAAAGATGAAATAATGGAGCTGCAGAAACAGCTACAGGACACCACGGCAATGGTGAAAAAGCACCAGTGCGGAGACTCGAAGAAGAACGATGAAGTAGATTTTTCAGATTCTCCTGAAAAGGGAGATAAGATCGTTTTGACTGAGGTGGGAGTTTTAACAAAGTGTGCCTTTTTTCATTTTATAAACTACTTTTCAATGAACTATTTTAGGGTGACGAAAATGCAGACATCCCACCTGTCATAACTAAAGAATATTCTTGTTTAGAAAAGACACTAAACTCGCATCAAAAACGTCTTCTGAAAGAGTTGAAGACAAAGTTCAGTGAATCAGTCGAACAAAGTATATCTGAAAGCAAACAAATTCACGAGCAGGAAATTCTCAACATGAAGGTAAGCAACCAACAATTTGAAGGTTCACTTTATCGAATGCTTCTTTTTGAAGGCCAAGTTCGATGAGGAAAAGAAAGAATTAGATGGCGAATTAATCAGGTTAAGAGATTTGTTGACGAATATCAAATGCGGTTCTACCGAACTGATGGATTTGAAAAATGAACTAGAAGCTAAGCATGCTGTTGAAATGGAAGAATTGAGGACTTATTTTGAAAGGAAATTTGCAGATTTGGAAAAAAAGTAAGTTGCCTTTATTACTCTTGGAATTCCCAGCTTTCTCTCCTATTCAAATTTCTTGCTTTACCACATCAATCAAATTGAAATGAAAAGGGACCAGAGCATTATACATTTAAGGACTAACCTGACTAATAAGGTTGATGATATCTCTCCTTATGAAGACGCCATCTGTGGGATTGACAGAGAAGTAAATCATCGTATAATGAAGACAGCGCTGTCTGTTGTTAAATCATGAGTGTGTTGTTTTTGAGCTCTTGTTTTCAAGTAGTTGCCTAGCAATGAAAGACAGAGGAAGAATCTCTTTAGCGGTCGATTTGGAAGCTTAGCTTTTACAATTGACCGCTTTGGGAAGCCTCGTTTATCTTTGATTTCCGAGAATTGAGTTCTTTGTTCATCCACGAGATGGCGTCTTCGTAAGAATAGATTTTATGGACCTTACCTTATAGAAACAAAACTGCAGTGTCGGCTAAATCAGGAGTATATAAGTTGACTCGTGATTTATACAATATATTAGATTGTTTCAAAAGTTTTGGCTACTTTAGTATTTCAGTGAATGTTTATTCAATTTGATCGAAATAAGAGCCTTTTGAATCACTGCACTTTTACCAAAGTAACACAAATTGATTAATATCATCAGAATGAAAATTGAGTTCTCTGAATTGGACGAAGTAGACGAAGGTCGTTTTTGTCCGGTCCTAATTGGCGAAGGTTTTACTGGTGATAAAGCTATCGAAGTGCTTGAAATGATGGTGTTTTTTCCCATCAAGAAGCAGTGTAAAATCAAAACTCGAAATTGTTTTTGATCCACTATTTTGAAAATAACAGAAGTAGTAGTGTCACTATTAGCACAATAACTCATAAACTTGTGACTAGAATATCATGAAATTTCAACAGCTTTCTTTTGAAGGTTAATACTAACTGAACAAGCGGTGAATTCAATAAGGCTAGCGCCATCTATGTATTAGACCCGAAACTTTTCAGTCCATTTAGTATTTATTTTGTAAGACACTTGTGTGGAGAATCAGATAAAAAAAGGGGATGTTCAGTAGTAATAATGAAATGACAAATTTCGCTCCTTTCCAGTTTTTCTGAAGAGGTGTTCAGCCAGCAAAGCAGAAAGCTATCCGGCTCGTCATGCTCTGAACTAGAACTCAATTCCGACCCCATTTTCCCTCATGCTCCGGGGCCGAGCGGTGACATCAGGTATGAAGCACAGCCCCACTTCACGAAGAAAGACGTCTTCAACCTGCAGAACGAGCTAAACAGTCTTGTTGGCAAAATCGGCAAGTACGATTTGGACGACTTGACGGACGACGATCTGCAAAACTTGCAAATCGAAATCGCCAAGTCCAACCTGAACAACTTGCTCAAATACGATTTGTCTGCAGTAAGAAACGAGCAGCTGAGCAAGTATCAGAAGGAGCTCGAGATAATGCAAGAAGACAACGAGAACAAGCTGAAAGCGCTGACAGCTGCGTATGAGAATAAATTAAGGGACGCTGAGGAAAAGTATCTAGAGGAGCTGGAAGAGTTGAAGGTTCGGTTGGACGAGATGGGAAAACAGGTCACTGTCTGCTCTACTGTCCAGGAAGTGGTAAGATTTTTCTTGATGTTGTTTTCGTGGGGGTATATGTGGATGATTGTTCTGTATCTCCAAGTCCAGTTAGCGGCATTTTCATGAATCATAGTAATAATAATGATGATGATTCCAGATTCTTTGCATGCTGAAATGTGTCATGTAACAAATCCACCCCTTTTGTATTGAAAATTTTTATCGTGACAGGCAATATACAAAATATATAATAGCATATGTTTGTTATCGAGTCGTGTTGAAATATTTCTATAAATATACACCAGAAATGAATGCAGATATAGACAGCAAATGATGGTGACTATGTATATGAAAAAGGTATTATCATTAGATAATTTTATGTCAGGGTTTCTAATACTAACAATTAATCTGAACATAATATTTTTAATGTCCTAACCTGAACTTATAATGCCTTATCTGCCGAATTTCGTAACTTGCCATTTAGAAGATTCAAAAACTTATTGAAAAAAATATTAACCAAACATCCTTTATATGAAATTGATCAATTTTTCGAAGTTATCCAAGAAGAAAGAGACACTTTTGTGGTCACCTCCCGAACTTTTACTCAACTTTGAATATATAATAAATATTATCATTATTATTATAATTACAAGGCCAGTATAACCCTGATTAATTCGACCAAGACCATTCTAACAGTGAATCCGGACTCTTATTTTTATTATCCCTGACAAACCTACCTAGATTGTTCAAATTGTAACCTGAACTTATATTATATTATTATACTATATCTACATCTTCCAAATAACTAAAAAAATTAAAAGGAGCAATCTTAACTTCTGGATTTACCTTCTCTACTCACTCTTTCAATCTTCTTTCTAAACTCGATAAAATGTTTTATCTTTCAAGTTATATTTTGTTGAAGTTTTTTTGTGATTTACATTACATACTTTACTAAAGTCTATCCAAATCCAAGATAGAGTAAAACAAAACAAAACCGAAGTGTGATGTTCACGTGATCGCCCAGTGTCAGATGGAAAGGACAGCGTTCATTGGTGAGTTCGCCTTCTTGGTACGAGTTCGGTACCAGCACAGGGTTGTAATCAGTCGTTTGCGTGTTTGTGTGGCGTGCGTTATAGTATATTGTTTAAAATTGTTTTCCAAGATGTCCAGTACAGATACTGCTGATGACACTGTGAGCTATCCTCTGAGTCCAGCCAGGAAACGATCCAAAAAAAGACATTTCAGTGTTGAGATGAAAGAAGTGATTTTAATTGTGTTCAAGAAAGAGATGGAAGAAATTGAGACATCGACTGTCGACGAAGTCGTATCGAAAGTTTCCGATAAAATTGGAGTGTGTTGCGCTTCGATTTACAATGTTTTACGGGAATATAAACAAAATCATACATTTTCCAAACCGAATACAAATCAGAATCGTCAAACCATTATAAAATCAATAGATGATGCTGAGAAATATGCAATCAGGAGGAAAGTGCATGAGTACTTTTTCAGAAATGAAATACCCACGATAGACAAAGTACTCACAGAAATAAAAGAAGATGTTTTATTGCCAAGTTTTAAGCGGTCAACATTCCATAAAGTATTGAAACATTTGAATTTTGTATGGAAAAAACGAGGGCACAATAGTTTATTATTGGAAAGAGAGGAAATTGTTTTATTGAGGAGAGAGTATTTGACCAAAATTAAATATTATAGGGAACAACAGAGAACAATTTACTGTATGGATGAAACCTGGCTTAATGCTGGTCATACTACCCCTAAAGTATGGGTTGATGAAACTGTGACCTCATCTAGGAGGGCCTTTCTAGATGGACTAACCACCGGATTAACAAATCCATCAGGTAAACTTATATTTATATTAAGACCTGCCTCAATCTCAATATATAAAAAGTAACCCTCGTATTTGTTTTATTTACTTATTATTTGTCACATCGGCAATAAGAATGGGTTTGTTGCTGAAGGGCTGTGATGTCGAGTCGAAGAAAATTGGAGATTATCACGAAGAAACGAATGGTGAATCTTTCGAACAGTGGTTTTCCAAAGTTCTACCCCATCTGGAGGATAATGCTGTAATTGTAATGGACAATGCACCTTATCATTCGCGACGGTTAGAGAAGATTCTGACAACGTCTTCAAAGAAGGTTGAAATCCATATGTAGTCGATGAGATGGCAGCAAGCCAAAACAAAATTGTCCTTCGCCTGCCTCCATACCTCTCCGAGCTCAATCCCATCGAGTTAATATGGGCGGATGTGAAGAATTTTGTAGCTCACCATAACACCACGTTCAAATTTGCAGATTTCAAAGTACTTTTTGATGAGGCTTTGAAAAGAGTCACAGCGGAGAAATGGGAGAAGTGTGTTCGGCATGTGATATCGGAAGTCGAGACAAAGATGTAGAAGCTTGATAACATAATAGAGGCACAAATCGAGCCACTGATATTCAGATTGGTGAGGATGACACTACTGACGAAGAGACAAATTCATCCAGTTGAATAATTTTGATTAATATTCCTTTTGATTTTACATAAAATAAAAATTATCAATAAAGAAAATAATTACGTCTCTTTTCATATAATGCTTGAGTGCGCTGTGAAAAATCCAATGAAAAACTTTTTATATTACACATATTATCTGTATTTTTCCCGTTAAACTGCAAAACTTGTGCATTTCACATGTTATTATAAAAAAGTTTTCCTAAGTATGATATAGCATTTGCGATCAACAAGATGTTGGTTCTGAATACGACCCTGGCCAATTCTTGGGATTTTCAATATAACGTGCGTAGGGCATGTCAGTGTTTACTTCCACTCTATCTTGGATTTGAATTTGCTTTAGATATTATTTTCCTGTTAACACTCTTTACATTGTATGTTTCTTCGTCTGTCCCCTCCTTAATCTGACTGTACTCACTTCATGCTTGCTTCTCATCTATTATTTATAACAACTTTCAATATTTTTCAAATTTGCTATAAGATTCAACTCTTTATTCTACTTCTACCATTATTTTCTACTTTACATTTGAATTTATATTAACTGTTATCCTTTCTCTACCAAATTCTTTGTTGTTCCTTATTACCAATCATTTTTCTTTTCACTGTTCATTATCTTTACTCTTTTCACAACTATTCTAGCTCTAGTTCACTTCTTAACCTAGTTTTTGTTGTGACACTCATTTCTTTTTCTATCTAGATGTCTACTTCTCCTAAGCTTTTAATGATTCTTTGAAGTTTTCTGTCTGTGTATGATTTACCATCTTTCGTCATCTTTCATGCTAAGAACTACTTCTTCCCATTTTTGCATTTATATTTCTTCCAATTATTTCTGTCATTCTATATTCATTCTTCACTTATTTGAATTTCCTTTTCTATTCTTCACTAAAGTTTTAGCTCATTGTCCATCCAATCCTCTCCTTTTTTCTATTTTGTCCTCCATGTACAATTTTCCTTCCTTCACAAACTTTCCCCTTTATTGTTCTCTACATTATACTCTCTAACTTCTTCGATAGATGACCTATTTATTTTGTATTAGTTCATATTGAATATAGTTTACTTAAGAACAGTTTAACAACTGAAATCAGTCGTAACAAATAAAAAAACTGGTAGAAATCAGACAAAAGTTATTTTACTCTCCAACTTAATAATTTTTCATATTTCTTATTTACTCTCATACCTGTAACAGTTGGGCTGAAAAGTACGTAGGCTAACATGGAAAAAAAACATTTTTTTTATACAATATAGTTGCCTTCCAGGAATATACAAAGATTATAGTGGTCATACAATTGTTTTATACCATTTTCATAGTATGAATTGTCTTTAGCCTCAAAATAGACCTCAGTTTGGACGACTCCCTCTCCATCGGCGCTGAATTTCTTTTCAATGAGATTTTTCTTGAGGTCTGAAAACAGGAAAAAGTCGCTGGGAGCCAGGTCTGGATAATACGGTGGATGCGAAAGCCCAATTCATGCAATTCTGCCATCGGTTTCATTGTGACATCAAAAAGCAATTTTTTTTTCTCCAAATGTGGCCGTTTTTCCGTGATTTCGTCCTTTAAACGTCCAATAACGCTATTTAATAGTCGCTGTTGACACATAAATTCATGTTTTTCATGGTGGAACAGCTTCAAACACTACTCAGAATCATCAATTCGTTGTTGTTTTGGTCGATTGTGAGCTCATGCGGCATCCACTTTGAACAGTGCTTTCGCATACCCAAATATTCATGCACGATATGTCTAACACGTTCCTTTGATATCTTTCGAGCCTCATATATGTCGATCAACTTCACTTTGCTGTCATCCAAAATTATTTTGTGGACTTTTTTGATGTTTTCGTCGGTAACAGCCTCTTTTGGGCGTCCACTGCATGCGTAGTCCTCGATGCTCATTTCACCTCATTTAAACTTAATAAACCACTTCTCAACGGTTGATTTTCCTGGTGCTAGGTCCGAATGATGTTTACCAAACCAAGCCTTGGCTTCAACTGTTTTTTTTGCCAAAAAGCAATGCTTTATTAACACATGAAATTCCTTTTTATACATCTTCTACAAACTAACAAAAGTTGCTTCACTCAAAATGTTCTATTCCACAAATTAATAGTCCGACAGCTGTGAAATTCATGTACGTGCCTTTTGAAGGTTAGGGTTAACTAAAAATCATATGAGTTCAATGCTAGTAGCGCCATCTGTGTGTTATCCTACGAACTCATCAGCTCATCTAATAATGTAACACCAGAGACATAAACCGATACCTCTGCAATTGGACTTGGAAATTTCACTGTTATTTTGTCTTTGTGATTGATAATTCTGTGCTAATGAGTATCGTTTCTGTTTAATTTTTGTAATCGCATGCGAAATCAGGGAAGCTCAGGCGAGTTCGAGATCAATGAAGTCATACAAAGCTACGAGAGACGCCTCCAAGAACAAGTCACTCTAGCTAAGATTGATATCATTACGGCGCTCGAAACTCAGATACAGGTACTTGTGTTTTAGTGTTGATACATCTAGGGGATGAAAGGGTTGCTTTGGTCGTGGTGTCTGAAATCTTGTTTGTTGAAAAAAATTGGAGTCTTTTGTGTTGGAAAATGTTTTGACTGTATCAATTTGTAAATGTGAAGTTATCGCCAAGCAGGCTTCTCAGACAATCAAAAAGGTAATAACCTCTGCAAAAATCACTTCTGAAGAAAACAGGATACACACTTGTGATTTTACACAGAAAAGCACTGAGGAATTTGAAATTAAAAAACCTTCAATAAAATTGTTTGCACTTATTTCTAATGGTTTACTCGGTCACCTGATATGAAACCTGCAGACTTTGTCTGATGGGGATTCTTGAAATAGAAAGTTTATTATTTTCTCTCGATCATCTATATTTCATTGACTAGTTGAAAAGTTAGTGCAGAGTTCAGAAAAAACTGGAATTAGACAAGGAAGAAGTTAATTTTTCAGACAAGTACAATTCCTACCGAGTAGGTGGAGTTGTTTGATAGAAATTAATAATTAGAATCTTACTTAAAATATTACCTGACCCGGCAAATGTTGTTTTGCCACATACATTATTTCTATCAGAACACAGCCACAAACGGACATTGTTTAGCCTTGAGACTTATTAATAGTCATTGTAAATGCCAATCTAATTAGAAATTATACTCGTTTAAAATGAATTGGTACATCTGTAGGTAGGTATAATAGAGATGCGTGGTTTAATATATTTTCACCTCGGACATTTAAAATGCTGGCTTCAACAACGATTTTCATCATTTTTAAAGGCTAATCGCGTGCTGTTGTTCAGCCGTGGTGGATTCAAATTACGAGGCGATCCAACCTTCTGTTGTAAATTGTTCGGTGGCATGCCTAGCAAATCCAATGAGTTCAAAAACTCTTGGATAATTCACAGCTTCGGTGTCATCGCAAACTTTATCTACACTCGATGGATAAACAATAATAGTGGCCGGAAACTGATTTATGATCAAATTACTAAAATCTATATTGAAAAATAGGGGTTTGTGATAGAAGGGTAGAAATTGAGGGTTGTATGTATTTTTTAATGCTGCATCATAAAAAAATTAAAACAAAAACTGTTTAGGGTGGAACACCCTTATCACTTGGGAGTATGAAAAATAGGATAAAACTGAAAATACACATAAAATTTAATGAAAATCTGTCAAGCCGTTTCCGAGGAGTATGGCAGCTAAAACTGTGACACGAGAATTTTATATATTAGATTGCTGAGATCCCACTTGCACTGATTTTTTTCAGAGGTTTTTACCTTTTTTTTTAAAGCTCGTACACAATATTTCTAATGGATTTTGTAAAGTTTATTTTTAATTCAATGAGACTAAAAGCTGAGTAAGTTCCGTTAATGAAATTAAAATCAGAAATAATTTGAAATATTGGGATCTTTTAGCGTTTGGCTACCAGCGAAAATGACGACGAAGAATGGCCTTCAGAACTACTCCGCTTGCGCGACAAATTCAGTCACAAGTACGAGGCTCAAATGGAAAATTTAAAAAAGGAGCATCAAGACGAGATCGAAACGTTGAAAGAGGAGCACCTGAAAGCCCTAAACGGTGCTCTTGAGAGAGCAAGAAGAAGGAGTCTGAGAGACACAGATAGCTTGAGCAAGGGAGAATTGGAAATGCTACGAGAAAGGTTGGGACATGTGTTGTTCGAGTCCAAAGAAATCCAATGAGTTTTATAATTTTGTAGGGATAGCCTGAAGAAGCAAGTTTCTTCACTCAGAAACCTGCTGGGTGAGCTGTTGAAGTATTTCACTCAGTGCGAAGACGAGCTAAACAATACGTTAGTGGATGAACTGGTGAAACAGGGTTTTGACAAGAACCTCTCTGTTATTGAAGATGAGTTGAATCTGTCGAATTCGAGTCCAACTTGCTCAAGCAAGGCCAGGTGAGGTTGACATCTAGTGTTCCTTGAATTGACATTCAATTTCCTTACTACATTTTGCAAGCCCTTGTCACGTCTACAGAAATGCATCTCTCCCACACAGACCTACACAAGAGAATCTAGTAAATTTCTGTCAAAAAACAACTACTTCCCCAGAAAAATCTGCAAGACTAACCAACCTCTGTGAGGTATCTCACATAAATTTCTGTGGGATGTTTGAAGGTGATTGTGGAATATAATTCAATGTCCAGCGCGGTATTAGCCGGGAAAGTAGTTGTTTTGCGGCAAGCATTTACCAGAGTTTACTAAGTTGGAAGAAAGCAAATTTATGCAAATTATCAAATTGTTCCAGTGGAAGACTCTGTCTCATGGAACGTTCTGCATTCACTGTCGATTTTTCGCTTCTTTTCCATACTAACAAATCACACATAAAAACAATAAGTCAAATCAAAATATTTTTATTGTCGGGTGTTACTTTATTTCACAATAGACAGTTTCGCTTCCTTCGCCTTTCCTACGCAGACTAACTCGTAGTTGCGCCGCTAGCCTTTTTATATGCAATTATTCCTGCCAAACGAGTGACTCTCATATTCGAGACTAGTTAAAAAAGATTCAGACACCTTCAAACTCAGAATCACAGATTGACTTCCTTCACTTTGAGTCACGGATTTAAACAATTTTGATGCGTTACAGTTTTGGAGGTAACACACGTTTTTGCTCGCCCAGTATATTTCATCCTGTTTCGGTTCAACGGCGGCGTATAATTAGAATGGAGGAAACGCGTTTTGCACTCTTCTCGCAACCTGTGTCTCTGGGAATCAACACACACACACAGGGATGTTTATTTTTAACTGCCTATTTGACTGGTTATTTATATTGTGGTTTCTCTAGTAAATATTGAGTCAGACTGTAGGAAAGTAGCATTCAAGTCGTCCTGTTCAAGAGCTGGGCGATGTGATAGTCTGTTAATCTCTTGCTGTGTATATTGGGTGAAAAACATGTTAGTATAGTGTGTTGGATATTGAACGCTCTATCGATAATGCTTACTCTTTTGTCCGCTACTTTAACGCTTCTTCATAAAGCATTTTCTTTACTAATATTGCGTAGTTGACACTAGTCCTTTGAAAATCACCCATTTGTGGTGACGATTGTTGTAAAGACTGTTCTCTTGGATTTTTCCAAAGGTAATGATCTGGTCAAATAAGATCGGGCAACCTAGGAAGCCTCATAAAAGTATAAGTAATTTTTCTTGCTTTTCGACAACTGTACTAGGTAAGTATTATAATTTTGAACGGATTTTAATTCCTTTAAGACAACCAGAAAAACAATAAGAATTGAATCTGAATAGTTTTTTTGAAGAAAAGCTGAGTCATAGCAGACTGAATCGTTTTATAATAAAAAATAATTTTGGCCTCTTATTGCTCTTTTCGAGGTAAAGTTGTTTTGCAAAATATTTTTTCCAACATTAAAAAAAAATAAATTTCGGCAACCCGCCTTTTGACGGCAACATCTTTGATTTACTTCTTTAAAAAAATGTCTTAACACATTTCTACTCGCTTCCACAGACTTGTTGCCTGACAGATGAGTACTTGCGGATTATTTTGAATATCCTTTTGGTTTTTCATCGACATTCTCACAATTTGAGAAGGGATGTCAATACAATTATTCTAAAAGTCCTGAAGTATCGACTATACTATAATTCCAAAATAGTAGGCACTAAATTCTCAGAAATGACTGACGTTTTTATCTTAATCTTGCAGATGTGAAAAAATGGAGATGTTTCTTCTAAATCATTCGTTACCAAACATTTTTTTGGGCATCAATTGTACTTCTCATTGTGATCTTTCTATGGAAAAACCTATGACTTTTTTCACAATGCTGGAAAAGACCCTTGAAATGTTTTGTCTAGCAACATCAATGTCTTTTCGAGACATTTTCTATGTTTATAACTGTTTATTATCTGAAAAAATCCCGAGTTCAACTAATAATAATATTTATTTGAAATACCAAATTCTATGAAGGCATGTTTGAAAGATCATAATGAAAGTCTGGATAGAATTATAAAATTTATGAAAGCTATTGGGCTATACTCAAATATTTCAACAAGAAAGCAAATGATGAACATACTTAATAGTAGAAGGCCAATGACCTCGTAATCGACGCCTTTANTTTTAATAATTGAAATAGTCGGGTTTTTGCTCTAATCATTTTTATTCGTAAGGTGAGTTATAATTTGTTTCCTCCTCGAGCAAGCAAGCTAATTCTGGCTAATGGGTTAAATTTCGGACATATCATCAGTTCTTTCACTGCTGCCTAAACCGCAAGGCAACTACTGGAAAACCAGAGCCTAAACACAACACATTTATTATTGTGCATCAAGCAGCGTTATTTCGACCTGCCATAGGTATCATCAGTGGTGCTAGGACCTACCCACAAAAGTGCAAGCTTCCTCAGCCTAGTACCACTGATGAAACCCACTTCGGGTCGAAACAGCGCTGTCTAGTGTTGAATCTTGAATGCGTTGTTTGGGCCCTGGTTTTCCACTAGATGTAAGTCGTCAATGTATCACATTGCACGTTCTTTATGATACATTTCAGTTAATGAATGTGTCATTGTTGCATATCAGTTCAAGTACCTTTGAAGTACAACCAAAATACCCCCAACCTTTTCCGAATTATGGCTCTTTCAAATAGGTATGGAGATCACTTGTTTTTCGCCATTTTGATTTTCCTCTTGAACCCGTTTAGATATCCATACCATGGGGGTGCAAACAAAACATAGACCACCATTGTCACTATTTTCCGGGTTTAATATATCTCCGATGACTGGATATTACGGCTGTGTTTATATTGACTTCTCAGGTAGTTTGGTGTGCCTTCAAACCTGGAAAATAGTAACACTGAAAACCTCAGCCGCAAAACCTTCAACAATTTTGTCATAGTCCACTATATTCAATTGAAAATAGGCTCATTTTATTTTCCTAATTTTTTTCAGCAAAACCTGTGCATAAAAAACTAGTCCCGTCGTGGGAATAATTATTTTTTGTATCCTACAGACCACGGCTAAAAAACCCGGAAAATAGCTTTTACACAGTTATCTCGGATCGTAAAAGTTTACATTCTTTTATGAAAAAATGTTTGATATGATAGCCAAATATGACAGGAAGTGTTACATTCTTTGTTATTTTTTGTATTCTTTCCAGTAAGCAGTAAACTATTTCGTTTGATATTCATATTATGGGGGTGCATGAAAACAAGCTAGTCTTGGACGGTCTGTCATGTTGGATAACCATGCATTGTCATGTAAACTTGATTTGTATGCAAAATTTCAGCTCAAACTTTTGGGCATAACTGCTTCAATTCAGTTGCAAGATTTGACTCGTACTAACATACATACATCCGGACATTGTAAATTAAATCAAAGCTTATGAAAAGGGGGCTAAGGAATCACCCTTTGACCAAATTCCAATCAAGGCTCGCTGTTGACAAAAAAACGAATTCTCTGCTCTAAGATAACATTGGTGGCAGTCGGAAGGACGTTTCTTAGGGGGTCTCCAATTCATAAAAGGTTATTTTCAAAATCAATTATTTTTCCCGAAGTTTAAGATGCTAAGTGATCATTGGGTCCGAGAATCATATGCCCTAAGCAGGCGCACTGAGCCAGGAATGACAGGCGTCAGTCCATTAAACCTACTGTGTAGGTATATAGAGACTGGCTTGAACGTTTAAAGTTCATTTGCTTTCTGTATTTGTTCGGCCAAGATGTCTGCCTTATTGCGGCAAGCCGGCATGATCTTGAAATCTGAGAGTAGAGAGACCTTCATTACACGAAGGACTCCAATAAACAGAACAACCATCTCAACAGAGTGGTCTTGGAAGAGGCTGCGGAATTTGAAGAGAAAATTTCGATATTTCACCAGTAATATAGCTACAAGAGTTCTGAGCCATTCCTTATTGAAAAACGCGTGCATATTTGAGCAGATCCATTCTGGCGACCTTACGACCTTCAAAGCGCACTTCAAGGTCACACGTGTCTCTTGCCCACTTCAAGGTCACAAGTGTCTCGTCGTTGGTAAGTATTTCAGAGAGAGGCGTTAGTGAGTGGAAAAGAGACACATGTGACGTAGTCGCTCCCACTTCTGCCGTCATCCAGTCGACCAATCAGAAGCTACCGCGCGTACAGCGGGAAATAAAAATCAGTACGACAACAAGGCGACTTCTGGAACACTTCACTTCACGGAAGTGGGCTTTGAAGGTCGTAAAATCGCTAGAATGGACCTGTTCAAATTTGCACGCGTTTTTCCATAAGGAATTGCTTAGAACCCTTGTAGCTATATTACTTTCACCCGTTTTTCCTCCTCTTCTCGGACGATATTCTATATCTGTAGAGTAGGGAGGGTGAGTGTAAGCCCACAGTATTTAGGCCACATGTGACCCATTGTACATCCTCCCGAGGAGTTGTCCTCATAGGTCATCGTCCATCCTGTCCTTTCCAGTAAGGTGGACAGATCACTGGGAGACATCTCCTTAATATCGGAAGGTGTAGGCCAAGATTCGCCGAACACACACTCTCTTATTGACGATAACTCCGGGCACTCGCACAGGACATGCCTGCCAGTCTCATCTTCCTGTTCACACATCCTGCATAGAATTAAAAGACAATAAATTTGCATCAGACCAAGTCATTTTCAATATTTATTCGAAATGAGTCAACATTATTGTTATGCCAAAGTACAGACTTGTCATCAGCAAAGGTTGTGAATTTACCTTGTATATAAATATCAGCAAGGTCAATAAAATTCCATAAAAAGAGTAAAGGGCCCAGCTCAGATCCCTGAGGTTACCCACATTCAATTCTCATGTTGTCTTATGTCATTTTTTTCAAGTCCACTTTTTGAACATGGTCTGATAAATATGATACAAACCATGACAAAATATTGCCACTAAATCCATAGATGTGGAGTTTCTTTTAGTAATATTTCATGATTGACACAGTCGATCATCAGATAAATATAAGTAACATTGAGATTTGTGCAAAAAAAATAATTATGAGTCGAGCAATAATTCATTTGAGACAGATTTTTCATTGTGCATTTGACACAATTTTTATCGATAATTGTTTCAGCTTGTTTACTTGGAATTCAATGTTTGTAATAAAAGAAAAAATTAACTTCCTCTGTCTTCCATTGAAAGTAGAAGAGATGAGCAATTTGCCATCCATTCACTCACATATAGGATCACAAGTATTTGCCTCTGACAATTTTGGCTAGTATTTTGCTCTCATGCTCGTATGAAAATAGTAGGGGCGCTAATATTACAGCACGTTTTTTGCGTTTCCGAATACGTAGTTTAATTTGGAGAGACAGGATCGGTAGCAAAAATAATCCCGAGAGAAATAGTGGAAGTGAAGTTGTTTTAAGTTGATTCTAAAAGGGTTTATTTACTATTGACAGTGATAGCCTGGCAAACGTCACCAGAGTCCATCTCACCCCCAATTTCAAGGACCTGATCAATCTGATAGAGACTAGCTCGCAAGAGGACTGTGATTCGAAGGATATCTCTCTAGATTTGAAGACCGAACTGGGTTTCTGTTTGGAAAAGTTGAAGCAAGAAGCCATCGCTATTCTTGCTCTGACAACAAATAACCTCAAACAAGGAGTTGTCAGTAAGTTTCTTTCGTTGTATTGTCCGGTCCGTCAGTGTGTTTTACTTGAAAATGAATTGTTTTTTGTACTATAGTTGAGCAAAATCGTTAATCATAAATGTGAGGATCCTGATTATCTTATCTGCCACGGGATGGGATTCCTCTCATTTGATTTTTTAAACAGGTACAGTCGCTGATAACAACAGAAATTCTCCTCTGGAAAATAAAGTGACGTCACTCACGAGACAGTTGATTACTGAGACTCAAGCGAAAGAGAAGCTGAGAGATGAACTTGATGATGCACTTAGGTGATGTTCACATGTATTGGGTACAGAGATGACTTTATAACGTACCGTTTCACTTAAAGGTATACCGAGTCTTTGGAGAGAGAGAAGGATCGTTTGGAATCAGAGTTGGACGAGGTGATAGCGAAAGTGAACATTTTGGAGGCAGATTTGTGTCAAGCCAAGAATAGAATAGCCCAGTTGATTGAGAATGGACATAAAGAAATTGTTTCTGAGGGCTACGGCGAAAAAGGGGCTGAAGTACATCGATGGGGTGAGTATATGCTTGTTGTAGGGTTGAATTTGAGTTGATTTCCCCATTATTTCACCTGGTATCTTCTTTGAAGTATTTCATTCATTTTCAAATACATACAAAAACTGTAGTTTTGTTTGAAGTCACTAGTGAATTGTTAATGCTGTTTTTTTAAATGCATGTATATTTTTTTTAGGATTTTAAATATATATGTGTGGAGGAACAGCGTTTTTTGTGCTTTTATATATTTTTTCTTGATTCTGTTATTAGAATCTGTGTTTTTTTTTATCTATATTACTGTTGTACAAAAAAACATTTTAAAG